GCCTATGTGTCTCTGCAGGGCCATCACTCGCAAGGCGAACTCAAACAGGTAGAAGGAGACGAAGAAGATGTTCAGGTGGAACAGGACCATGTCCAACACTAATACACACCACGACACACTCAATGTTCAAGTACGTTTTTTCTTTTGCACAATTTGATGTTTAATGGAATTGGAATGTTTGTGTCATAAATTTTTTAGCTCTCGTTTTATTTTTTACGTGAAACAGGCTAATGAACTTAATTTCTGTGCCGGACAAACTTATTTTTTCTACCTCAAATCTAAATAAAAAACATCTGAAGTAGCTTAAAGTTTTTACGGTTAATCGGTAAAAATTGAGATAGGGACCAGTTTTAAGTTTATGTAAATGCCATCAATTGTTTTCTTTCTGTCTAGAGACCTGCTCCTTTGACCTTGTGATTTCTAACGTCTGTTCCAATCTGAAATACAACAGCGCAGTAAGATTTCGATTTAATGCTTTACAGTTGGACTAAGAAAATACAACTTATTTATTATCTTTTCATACTACAAACATTCGACTTTAACATGGCGCAGCCAGCAGAGAAAAAAGGAGGGGGGAAAATCCATTGAACATTGTAGCCTTTTGGGAAGTACGAACACCAGAACCTCCAGTCTATTGGGAAGAGTGGATAGTCAAGTTTCACTGGGGGATGATCGCAAAGTACGATATTGATCCCGATGACTTCTATTTTGCGGACACTCTAAATGCGGCGGCCGTCGGTGCGTTGCCTGAAGAAGTAAATGGGAAAAACCGTCTCGATTCAGAAAAGAAGTTAAAGTCTAATCTATATCTATGTATCGGAGACGAGGCGCAAAGAATATTCAAAGCTCGGAAACCGACGGTTAACATCAAAACTGCACGGTACCCACGGGTTCTAGATGAAATGCAAAACGTGTTTCAAAGAGAGAGGAATGTAACACATGAACGGGGTCTTTTCTACGGAAGGAAACAGCGTGAGAACGAAACGTTCGAAAAGTTCCATGCGGAACTAAGCGCCCTAGCAGGTAGATGTGATTTTGCAAATGCGGCCGAAAACGTTCGTGACATTTTCATTATGAACATGCGGGAGTCTGATTGCCAACGAGAGTTATCACGATCAACAAAATTACCTGAAGAAGTCTACAGGATCGCATTGTCATACGAACGCGGGGAACGCGCATACAAATCGTATACGGGACGACCAGCTTCAACAGCTCCGGCTATCACAATAAAACAAGAACCGGTGAGTAACATAAGGAGGGGACAAGGATTTTTTCGAAGTCGCGGACGCGGGGGACGTGGAGGATACACCCAAGGACCGAGTAGTAGTGGAGGAAGCGGACATAATCGTTGGTGTTACAATTGCGACGCACCAAATTTTACCCTGGAGCATATTGCGAGCTGTCCTGCGAGAGGAGCAACATGTAATTCATGCCGAAAATTAGGTCACTTTGAACGAACATGCCGAGGAGTTAGAAGAGGTACTAACCATTGGAGGGGACGAGGACGAGTCGGACTGGTTAGGGAGGAGAGTGAGCATCAACAAAGTACACAAAACGTAACTGACTTGAACGAAGATCCAGTGTCGTGGGTCAATCAGCAGGGGTGCGGGGAAAACGAATCCATGACGTCGGGATCGGACGATTACATGGTAATGTCAATACACAGGAAGAGGAACGAATCCGAACTAAAGCTCCCTGGGGCGCGCGTGCAAGTTGAAGTAGCAGGGAAGAAAATGTGGTTGTGGATCGATAGTGGATCCCCAGTGACCATTTTTAGCATTAACGACCTAAAAGCAACGTTGGGTAAGGCAAATATCCAACTAAAACCGTCACAAGACGAATTCCTGGATTATAACAACAATCGAATAAACATACTGGGGAAGATAACAGTGATGATGTCATTAAACGGCTGGGCGGCACCAGCACAAGTGTCGGTTATATCCGGCAACCATCAGTCCATCCTGGGGCGGGATCTTATGGGCACCCTGGGTCTCGAGTTAGTTCAACGGAAGAAAGTGATGGGAATCACAGGGGAAGGGATCAGTCAAGAGGAGGAGAAATATGACGAATTGCATACATACTTCTGTAAGTTGTACCCAAATTTGTTTACTAGGATAGGGAAAATCCGGAATGCAAAAGTAAGAGCCGAATTTTTTGACAATTTGAGACCCATACAGCAAAAAGGAAGCAGGGTGCCGATTAGTCTGCAAGATAAGGTGGATAAAGAAATCCATCGGCTAATAAATGAAGGGCATATCGTAAAATTACAAGAATGCTCAGATAAGTATTTCGTCTCTCCCATCGTAATTACAGTAAAAAAAGATGGAAGTATAAAAATAGCATTAGAGTCAAGAGAGTTAAACAAGCAGGTACATAAAAATAAGTACCAAATGCCAAATATTGACGAATTAATAGACGGAGTAAGCCCGATAATTGCGGAGAAAAAAGCGGGGAATGTATATTTTACAACATTGGATTTCACATATGCGTATGGACAAGTCGCTTTAGAACAAAAAACGAGCGAACAATGCAATTTCTCGCTTGTTGGGGGGAAATCCACAGGAACGTATCGTTTTAAAAATGGATTTTACGGGTTGACATCAATGCCGGCGGAATTCCAAAAAGTAATTGATAATTTGCTTAAAGAGTTCCCTCAAGCTAACGCGTTCATCGATGATATCTTAATTTCTTCGAAAGGAACGAAGATCGAACACATCGCATTGGTCGAAAAGATATTGAAAAAGCTGGATATTTCTAATGTTGCTTTAAAGTTGCAGAAATGCGAATTTGCGAAAACAGAGTGCGAGTGGCTCGGATTTAGAATTGGGGAAAGTGGTATTACACCCTTAGTAAAGAAAACACAAGCAATTGAAGACCTGAAAACCCCCAAATCACGAAAACAGTTGAAATCACTGATGGGTTCACTTCACAGTTTACACAAATTTTTACCCAAACTTGCAGAATTAAGTGCACCGCTAAGGCCACTACTAAGCCAAAACAACGATTTTGTTTGGACTAATGTTTGCGAAAATGCATTCCAACATTTAAAATCGCTAGTGAAAAACATTGTCGAGTTACGACATTTCGACATTCACCGGGAGACTAGAATTATTTGTGACGCTAGTCACGATGGTTTGGGGGCCGTATTAGAACAGTATGGGGCCTCAGGGTGGCATCCCATTTCGTTTGCATCGCGTTACCTAAACCCTGCGGAGAAAAAATACTCCACGAACGAATTAGAATTACTTGCGGTAGTGTGGGCTACGGAGCATTTTCGAAATTACATATATGGCCGTTATTTCACAGTTATTTCGGACCATAAGGCTCTGCTAACGTTATTGAATTCATCTCCGAAAGGAAATAAAACGTTTTTCAGCCGACTAACGCGTTGGTACGATCGTTTAGTGCCGTACGATTTTAAAGTTGAACACAGACAGGGGTCAAAAATGGGAATGGCAGATTACTTGTCCCGATTTCCATCTGCAGCAGCACCCGAGACCAGTCGTTACGATGAAAGCTTTGTAGTAGCGAAAATAAAAATGATAAATGAAGCACTAAATCCTAAGGCTCAAATGAAGCCTAGGGGTCAAAACGTGAAATATCTAAAGCCAATACCGGCGGTAGAGGGCGATCAGTCATGCCTTGACATAACGACATTTGTAGCATCCAATGAGAATTCAAGAACAAGTGATTATGCAAATACTCACAGTGAGAGTACACGCTCACTAGAGGGCGTGTTTTCATGCAACCGACGGTTGACCAATCAGATTGAAGAGATTTGCATACCTTTAATAAACACAGGAAAAGAAGAAAATACTGCTTTGTTTTTGAAACTTTCAAAACTCAAAACAAATAGATGCCCTTAAAGCTCTTTAAATTTCCAAATCTACTTATGATTGACTTTTTTGAAAAAAAAATAATCCATTTTGAGAAAGCTGGATCAAAATAAAATTTTTTTATTTGGCTGGGAAATCTATAAATTAAATTCCATTTTCCAAACTAGAAATCGTTCACGTTTTTTCACGCCATTTCGACGTTCGAGTTTGGAGAGTGCTATTTACGCCACTTTCAGGAGATGAATTTCAATTGAACTCAAAAAGTGCATATATACATAAGTGCATCAGTATTTTAAGACTTTTTCCTGAAAAAAAATCAGCGAGACCTATATAAAAGTCTTAACAAAGAAAACGAATCGGCTAGACCTATATAAGAGTACTCACTACGTTCATTACTCTTAAAAAGGAGAGAAAAAAATTTCACTTCAAACTTGAAGTTTTTAATCATATAATTTTCATATCTGTTAATACAAACTGGTATTTTTAGTTCAAACTATTTTTTGATGCCAAAGTTGCACTAATGTAAAAAACCTGCCATTAGTTTGTATTGTTTGAGTCTTAAACCAATTTAATAAATTTTTTTTAGAAAAAAAGGTTTGATTAAAAAAATTATTATTATACAACTTTTTCTTCGATGAAAGTCTTAATGATAAACATTTTTTTCATAGACTATGTATCAAAATGTGTGGACGACAACCCGAACATTGAGCACAAATTCTGATTGTTTTCGAACTTCTAATTCTTCGACTGAGAGGAGACCTTACCTTGGCCACTTGAGTATTTTAATTTCCATGTGTGAACCTCACCCTCTCCTTGACGGAGTTGAAATTGTCGATGATGACTCCGACGAAGAGGTTGAGGGTGAAGAATGAGCCTGAGATGATGAAGAAGAAGAAGAAGAAGTAGTAGGCGATGTTGTTCTCTCTGCTCGGCTGCTGGTCGTAGTCGTCTGCCATGTCCACTGCCTGCTGCATCACCTCCATCCAACCCTCGAACAGGAGAGCACCCATCATGAAGACCATACGTGACGCGATCAAAGACAGAAACCCAAGAGCCCGAGAAATCATCACTAAACTAGGACCATATTACGCTCAACACTACAATGACTTCGCGGTACGGGACAACTGTTTGTGGATGGACGGCCGATTAGCTATACCCAAGGACATGTCTTCCGCAGTTCTCAACAGACTACACTTTCAACACCATGGTCGGGATAAAATGTTCGCGGCCGCAAAGGATGTGTGGATCCCGTTGATGCATCGAAATATTGCCGCAACGGCAAAGTACTGCAAATGCTGCGTAGAAGCAGGTAAAAATCTAAAACCAGATATCCCAAAAAGTGATATTGGGGTAACTTATGTACCTAAAGAACCTAACGATTTGGTTCAATTAGATTTCTGGGGCCCAGTCAATTATGTAAAGGGTAGAAAGAAATATGTGCTCGTAGCAGTGGATACTTTTTCGCACTGGCCGTCAGCATATATATGCTCAAGTAATAAATCTAAAAATGTCCTAAAGTTCCTAAGGAAGTACATCAACACTCACGGACACCCAAGGAAGTTGCATATGGATCAGGCAACGGGGTTTTTCTCGAATGAAATTCAGAGTTTCTGTAACTATGAAGGCATTGAACTAATAAAATCTCCGGTTAAGGACCATCGCGCAACGGGAATGGTCGAAAGAACAATTGGGTCGATAAAAAATTACGTGCTCACCTATCTTCAGGAAAATAAAAGTTACAAATTTGGGGAAATGATATCTCGAGCGCTCAGCGCTTTACGTTTTGTGCCACATTCTAAGACTAAGTTAACACCCTTTGAAGCATATCATGGAAGAGAAGCAAATACGGCGTTTCGAAACTTAACAAAGACACCATCTTTGAAAAATCTAAATTGGAATAAGGTTGTTAATCAGAAGCTATCTTGTTTAGACAAGGCAAGCAATCTCCCTGAGGTGGAGCTGACCCTGGACTGGGAAAAGAGAAGCGACCTAGTATACGCACCTGAGCAAAGAAAAACCCCAAGGATTTTGGATGATAATGAGATAACTGACAGGGATCCCAAGGCTACTGAGATGGCTGATAAAGTTTCAAAACAATCAGGAGGAAAAAAACGGCCCAAGGCTAGCTCAACAACAGTCTACCAGAAAACGGGGAAAACAGACCCCAAGGATCCAAGAAGGTATAAACGTTTACCATTGAAAATCGATAAGTTAACTGACCATACTGTGAAAATGGAAAAAGGGGCGTTATTAAGACGAAGTGGTGTTTCTTTTAGAACAGCGGCTGAGGAAAGCCAAATCAAGGATTTCTACGAAGCGTGCACCCCGGGTCCGAGCAAGTACCGGAAATACACCCCGAGTTTACGTGATATCGAAAAGAGCACCCCGGGTCCAAGTGAATCCGCAAGAAGCATACCGGGTCCAAGTGTACCGACGAAACTCAAACGGAAAGCGGAAAAGGATCAACTTGCAATGGGACAGGCGAAAAAGGCGGCAAACCCGAGGATTGTAGAATATAGCGAGGACGAGAGTGAAGAGAATGACATGAGCGATTGGACAGTCGAGGAGGACGATGCGGACAAAACGGCGGCGAGTAAAAACGTAATCGAACCGTCGGATACAGTTGAACCGTCGGATACAGTGGCCACGCGAACGCCAAAGACCGTCGAAGGAGGTCGGAAGAAAAACGCAGAGGGGACAAGAAAATCAACGCGACAGCGACGTGGCGTTGATAAGATGGGGGGTGTTATGATTCATCGTATCCAAAACAAGTAACATAACGCAGACCGAAAAGAAAAGAAAACCTAAACGAGAGGTTTGGCAGGTGGGCCTAAAAACTCTAGTTAAACTGTTTGCCGAAAAACTCAAAGAAAACTGACATTGATCTGTAACATGAATTGGAAAGGATAACATTACAAGTTGATAAATTTTATACAAGTTAAAATTTATTTGTGGTTGCCCGAATGAGATAGGGACCAGTTTTAAGTTTATGTAAATGCCATCAATTGTTTTCTTTCTGTCTAGAGACCTGCTCCTTTGACCTTGTGATTTCTAACGTCTGTTCCGATCTGAAATACAACAGCGCAGTAAGATTTCGATTTAATGCTTTACAGTTGGACTAAGAAAATACAACTTATTTATTATCTTTTCATACTACGAACATTCGACTTTAACAAAATACCGGTTCAAATACCTTTAGACAAATATGGCGATCGAAATTAAAAGAGATGTGCTTTTTTGCTGTCTCTTTTTAAGTTCACACAAATTTGGCTTGGATTGCAAGGTGTTCATTTGCATTGAGTGAGTCATGGTCTATTCCTGCATGTGCGGCAGCCTCTTCGTCAGTGTTGATGGCTTTCTTGTTCCGGACGGCCTGCACTATCAAGTCAGCCACAATCACCAGCGGCACTATCAGATCGAAACTCAGTCGGTGCACTGCTGCATGACACAGCTTGCCCAGTAGAAACTAAACAGAATCTCGAGAAATCAGCTTGAAAGAAACCAATGTCAATTTTAAGGAGAACATTTCAAAAAAAAACAATTTCATGAAATGAAACTCAAAATTAGATTGGCTATAGCTATATTTTTTTTTGAAATGTTCTCCTTAAAATTGACATTGGTTTCTTTCAAATTGATTTTCCGAGCTCTGTTCTAGCTCTGTAAAGGCTTCAACTTACTTCGATTTTAGCGCCGCAGTAAAGTTTGATAAAAAGGCCAGTATGACGTTCTAATCCATTTCTGGAAAAACTTAACAAAAAAATAGATTTTTTTTGGCGCACACTCGCCCTCAAAATTCGTGTATTGACGCCTAAGGCGCCTTCATTTGGTCTGTCGACATTTGGTATGTCGACCAGAAATTAAAGTAATAAAATAGCACAAAACGTGGAGCATATGGGGTACGGCTTGCTTCTTCTTGGAGCGCTACTGTGCTTACCTTAGGTGCAACTACTTTCTGCTTGGGTCTAGTGGTCACAACTCGCTTCATTGTCTTCAGGAACTTGGCCTGGTTCTCAGAGAACGCCTTGTCTCGGTAAGAGTCGTGTGAGATCTTGACACAAAACACACAAAAGGTCATCAAAGTTTCTCTTTGAAAAAAAAACGCAGTTTCAAAAGGAACAGCAAGAAGGAATCGGAAAAGTTTGGTAAATTTGGAGTACAGTAAAACGCTTTCTGAAGAAATTATTGAATGTATTTTTAATTTGAGAATCTGTTAAATCAAGAATCTTCTCCTTTATTGTCAAGAGCCTGTTTTTCTTCATCTCTCTAGTCATGGTTGCTGCATTTCAAAAAAACTGCACTGCTCTGTTGATTGATCAATTTAATCAACAAACAAAACAGTCTAACCATTTTAACTGTTAAGACAATTTTTCATGACGGAATGGTCCATTATAACAGCTTTTCAGCACCTATGAAAAATCGCTGTAGGCCCTCATGCAGTTTTTATATTAGTTTTTGATTGATTAAACTTGCGAGAGCAAGTGTCTTGTAATCGGGAAGAAAAACAAGAAACAACTTCCAGGTTCCCGAAAAACTTCCAGGCTCCCAAAAATTGGCCTGAAGCTAACGCAGTTGCTTTTGCACCCTAAGTTCTGCGGTTCGAGTCATATCAGGACCTTTATATATGAAAATTGGGGCGAATTTAGGGAGGGGGGCGGGGATTCTTTTAGGGATTCGACACCCTGCCGACCCAAAGGCCCCCCCTTTGCACTATTTTGGGATATCCATTATTGGTTATGCAAAATTTTTCTAACCTTTGGCGCCAATATGTACTAACTTTTAGGGGTGAGCGCGCGCCAAAAAAACGCGATTTTTTGGTAAAATGTTTCCAAAAAGTGCCTAAAAACGCTATTTTTGGCCTATTTTTTTCAAAATTTTGTCTGCGGCGCAGAAATTTAAGCCATAAATACGGTTTTTTAGTGCTTTGGGAGAGCTCAAACAATCATTTTGGTCGACTTAAAAAAAATTCGACATAATTTTTGAAACTTTTTTGAAAATCCACCCCCCCCCCCCCATCAATAAAAAATCCTAGATCCGCCCCTGTATGAAAACGAAAGTTTTTCGGAAAAAATTGAAATGTAAGACTTTCCTTTGTATGCTCAAGTTTTGTCAGCTTGGGTATCATATCATGGATTTTTTTTTCTACTGTAAGCAAGTATCATGGTGTTTGCAAGCGTTTTTCAATTCTTGAAAATTTTCTATAAAATTAACTTTTTTTCGGCTAAACTGGTTTCTGCTAAAAGATTGTCGGCTTTGTTTCCGTTTTGTAAGTTCGATTTCATTTCTAGTTTCAAGTTCAAATGACTTGATCTGCATGTTTCCCTATAGTTCCTTTTTTATAAAAACATGTTTTAGAAAAATGTATATAAGTTTTAGCTTTTCTCAAAAATCATTTACCGATTTTCAAAAAACGGGTATCCTTGGATAAACTGCCAACTCCTCTGAAAGATTGCATAATCATCTAAATTTCTTTTTACTTTATTCCACTGTCTACAATCTGACAGTCTCAAAAAGTCTATGGGGCGAACAATTGACATATATTTTTAGATTTTTTTTGGTTTTGGTTTTCGAAATCTAACCTCCCTAATCGGAGAATTTTAGTTCAATAGATAGAACGAGTTGTGAGAAGCTCCCCACGTTACCGGCTACGCAAAAAAATGGCACTCAAAAACTTTGCTTTTTGTCTCTTTTTGAAACTTTTTGACTTTTCTCGAGAACTATTTTCCCAAAACCAAGATTTTGGGTTCAACCGAAAGAATGGGTAGTGAAAATTTCCCCTATTTAATCAATTTTGCCCATTTTTGACACACAAAAAAGTTATGGCTTCCGCAGAGAAAAATCAGTTTTTCGAATCTTCTCTTAAGCGATGACGACCTCCTTTTGAAAAAAGTATGGATTTCCAAAAGTCACGTTTTTGAATTTTTGACTGTTTTTTAGACAATTTTTGACGGTTTTTTAGATAATTTCGACTTTTTCCAAAAGTATGCTATCAAAATTGAGATCTAGAGTTTAATAGAAAGAATATATTGCGAGAAGTCTTCCCGCAGAAATAGCGACTCGCTTCTTCTAGTAGAGAAGCAACTAAGGTTTTGGAAAACGTCCAGTTTTTAACCAGGTCCATTTCTTCTCACATTAGTCGAATTAATTCAAAAAGTATCAAACAACTTCTTCCAGCACTAGCTGTGCCCCTAATTTTCGTTTATCGAGACATATAAAAAAATTTAGTTCATCTAATTTTTTCCACCTTTAATTTGATTTTTTTTCTTCTGATGTTTTTTATTGTTTGTGTTGTATCGCAATTCATGAGAAACTCTACTTTGCCACTGTGCAGAGATTGCCTCACCATTGAACGTTGAGCACTGATCATGATGGGAAACAAACCACCAACTTTTCGACTGAGAGACAGAAACCTTAGCTATCCCGGGTTGACAAAAAGGTTATCATACCATTTCATACAAAAAAACCGCTTATCATACAGGTTCATACAGTTTAAAAATCACAAAGAAGCTATACTTTCATTTTTTAAAATTTTATGTTTTAAAATTTTATATACTATCACTGTTTTCGACGTTCTGCCATTAATAAATTAGTTTTTTGCCCCTTTTCTTCACAAAATTTATTTCAAATTAGCGTGGCATTTTTTTTATTAAAAAAACTGTACAATAAGCATTTTTGCAGGCTATGAAATTTAAAAAAAAACGTTTTTTTAAAGTTTCAAAAATAAAAAAAAACTTTTGAAACTTTGAAATTTTGTTTTTTGTCCCAAAAAACAAAAATCAAGACTTTCTAACTTAAGAAAATGTCTAACTGACAGTTGGAAAAGAGTAATAAACACAGGAAAAGAAGAAAATACTGCTTTGTTTTTGAAACTTTCAAAACTCAAAACAAATAGATGCCCTTAAAGCTCTTTAAATTTCCAAATCTACTTATGATTGACTTTTTTGAAAAAAAAATAATCCATTTTGAGAAAGCTGGATCAAAATAAAATTTTTTTATTTGGCTGGGAAATCTATAAATTAAATTCCATTTTCCAAACTAGAAATCGTTCACGTTTTTTCACGCCATTTCGACGTTCGAGTTTGGAGAGTGCTATTTACGCCACTTTCAGGAGATGAATTTCAATTGAACTCAAAAAGTGCATATATACATAAGTGCATCAGTATTTTAAGACTTTTTCCTGAAAAAAAATCAGCGAGACCTATATAAAAGTCTTAACAAAGAAAACGAATCGGCTAGACCTATATAAGAGTACTCACTACGTTCATTACTCTTAAAAAGGAGAGAAAAAAATTTCACTTCAAACTTGAAGTTTTTAATCATATAATTTTCATATCTGTTAATACAAACTGGTATTTTTAGTTCAAACTATTTTTTGATGCCAAAGTTGCACTAATGTAAAAAACCTGCCATTAGTTTGTATTGTTTGAGTCTTAAACCAATTTAATAAATTTTTTTTAGAAAAAAAGGTTTGATTAAAAAAATTATTATTATACAACTTTTTCTTCGATGAAAGTCTTAATGATAAACATTTTTTTCATAGACTATGTATCAAAATGTGTGGACGACAACCCGAACATTGAGCACAAATTCTGATTGTTTTCGAACTTCTAATTCTTCGACTGAGAGGAGACCTTACCTTGGCCACTTGAGTATTTTAATTTCCATGTGTGAACCTCACCCTCTCCTTGACGGAGTTGAAATTGTCGATGATGACTCCGACGAAGAGGTTGAGGGTGAAGAATGAGCCTGAGATGATGAAGAAGAAGAAGAAGAAGTAGTAGGCGATGTTGTTCTCTCTGCTCGGCTGCTGGTCGTAGTCGTCTGCCATGTCCACTGCCTGCTGCATCACCTCCATCCAACCCTCGAACAGCGCCTGGAGATATTCAGAAAAACAATTGAATATCACAGAAAAATACAACAAAAAGCCTACTTGCAACCAGTGCACAAAACTAAAACATCATATGTACAAATCAGTGCTAAATATTTTTTTCCCGAAATTCTAAAAAATCAATGACACGAATTTTGAAGTTTACAGTTTCTCTGATATAAATGATCGAACAATTTTTTAAGGCTATAAGATTTTATGAACTTTCGAAAACAAATTAATTGATATCTGCAACACTTAAATTTTTTAGTGCAAAACTTT